CTATGTTCAAACCACGGCAAAGACAAACTATTACATTGAGGGTGTGCTCGGTATAGAGGAAAATATTTTCCAATTTTCCTATGTTTGGTTGGTTAGAAATTTTGAAAACATTTTCTTTAGTAAAAACAAGCTCCTAAAAATGAGGAAAACAACTTTCCGAAGTAGAAAAAACAAGTTCCACAAGATAGTCTCCTTCCCACCATCCAACACACCTCATTTTCACCCCTTCCCCATAGCTTCCATCACCCTCCACCCCCTTACACCAATGCCGTTAAGTATTTTTCTAGATTATAATGCTTTTAAGATATACTTTTTGCTTATGTATATAATACAAAAAAAAATAAGTAAGAAACTCACTTATTTTCCCAGAAAACATTTTCTTTCATACAGAACACACCTGAAACTCAACTTTTGCGACCAAAATGGAATAAATGTTACCCAAATCCACACTTAGAAGTAAGTCCACACAGAAATTTAACAGTTCACCTTGTGTTTTAAATCAATCCATATCGTCCCTATAATTGCTCTTAAGTTCACAAATAGTTTTAAAAAAAAAAAAAAACGAATTAAAGATTTCATAATTCAGTGCCATCAAATCCCAGAGCTATTATTAGTATACTATTAGTCAATACTAGTCAAAATGAGAAAACATAGAGAGAGAGAGGATACTTGAGATCGTGATTGGGGAGAGAAGAGGAAGATCCGGGACGAACAGAAGACATCTCAATAACAGCACTATCATTGTCATGAGCCACCACTGGACTGTATTTTCGTCCAATAACTGAAGGGAACTCATTTTCCTCCGCAATCTCAATCTCTTCTCCACCTTCCATTGCCTCCCTAATTCGAAGCTGTCAAGTCTGAACTACCCAAACCAGAAAGTGTTAAATGCGAGAAAAGGGGTTTTTAAGCTGCGATTCAGTGCAGAAAATGGAAATGAGGAGAAAGAGATCTGACAATTCATGATTCATTTATATGTAGAGAGATAGAAAGGGAGACAGAGAAGAGACAAGTTGAGAGAGGAGACAGAAATTGAAACGGAGGGAAAATATGAGGGCTTTTTTTTTACGAAGTCATAACTATTTGGACCAAAATGGAAGGTACGAGGACTTAGTGGGGGGGGAAATGGGAGAGAAAAAACTTGACACTCGTTGACTATTTCGTTTGACCATGGTTTTTATTGAAATGAAATGATATTTTTGACTTTATTTGTTTGGTAAATGGATTTAACATAATCCTATAAATTTAAGGGAAATTGTATATAATAGCAAACTATTAATTCAAATTAAATGTTATAAATATAGTTTGATCTAATTGTACCCCATAGCAAACTATTGTTATTTAACTTCTCTCCTGGTGAATCTCGCTCGCCACTCTCGTTATCTCCCTTGCCTCTCTCGTTTTTTATACAAACGCAAGTGTATAAAGTGCGTTTGTGTTTGTATAAAGCGAGAGAAAATTGTATATATACATATATTTTTGTTCCCCTCTTCCAGATCTCACTCGCCACTCTCCCAGATCTCGCTCTCTCACTCGTCTCTCTCACTTTATACAAAAACCGCAAATTGTATAAAATGTGTTTGTGTTTGTATAAAGCGAGAGAAAATTGTATATATACATATGTTTTCGTTCCTCTCTCTCCCCTCTCCTAGATCTCGCTCGCCACTCCCCCAGATCTCGCTCTCTCACTTTATACAAAAACGCAAATGTATAAAATGCGTGAAAATTGTATATATACATATATTTTCGTTCTCCTCTCTCCCCTCTCCCAGATCTCACTCGCCACTCTCCCAGATCTCACTCGCCACTCTCCCAGATCTCGCTCGCTCACTCGTCTCTCTCACTTTATACAATTGATCTTTTTGTATATGTATACCAAAGCAGATTATACAACTGTTTTCTTTTGTATATATATAGCGAAATATACATATTTAGGTTTGTTATGGAGCGCAATTATGCAAAGTTTGCTATAACATACAAATATGAATTTTGTGTTTGCTATATGTGAAAGTTGCTCCTTAAATGTAGATTTGCTAGTAGGTGTTTCATGTTTGGCCATAGAATTTAAATGTTTTAAAATTTATTAATTTTGATATAAAATTGAGTTGTACTATTTCAATATTTCATGTTATTATGTACTTAAATACAATTTTAAAAGTAAAAAAATGGTAACTAATTCTAAACTATTTTTCAAAATTAAAATACATCTAAAAAATTGGTTGAAAAATTCTACAGTTAAACACAATTTATTTTTTTTAAATGTTCTTTTTTTTTATTTTTCACACGATATTTGAAACCCATATTAAAAATTGACTGAACCCAAATTCATTTAAAAAAAAATCATGAATAATAAATTTAGACTATTTCTCAGTTTGTGCGTGTCCACCTTGATTTTTCCTTGTTTCCATTTTCCTTCCCTATAAAGCTTTCCTCATTTGTTTAGTATTATCAAAATTGCATCAAAAGACCAATTAGTTTTTATCTCTTGAACATTGACTGGACCTCAATTAAGTTTGACCATCTAGAAATTCACAAGATATTTTTTTACTTTCTAGGTTTTGCACAAAATATTAAAAAATTTGTGACGATAAAAAATAAGCTTGAAATTTTTAAAAAATAAAATCATTTTATGCATGTTATTATGTTGATCAATAACATACTAGAAAAACTCTTAGAAATTTTGACCCTCACACAAGCAACCTTTAAGCAATTTTAATCACCATTTGAGAGTGAAAATATATTGAACCTATCAAAATAACTTAATCCAATTCGTCACTCTTCAAACTCAATCATAACTAAATAAAAATGGTGGAAAAAATGATTTATTTGTAGTAAAAGGAAGAACAAAAGAAAATATGAAAAAAAGATGAAACATGAAAAAATAAGTGTGATTCCCTTGTCATAAAAATAAAATAAAAAATAAGTGTGATTCGTTCTATAAAAATGTTTTTTTACCAGAAAAAAAATCTATTTTAAAATTTAATTAAAAAACTTTTGACAAAAATATATGCCAATTATAACAAGGTAACATAATAGTCATATTATTATCAGTTTATATCCAGTAAATTTGAATTGAATGGCCAAAACATGTGTGTTTGATTATCTCCTACTCACTAATTCTTCTTTATTATTATTCATATAAATACAAGTATAAAAATAAAGTAATGTAGTATAACAATTTGAAGTCCTTTAAATTATTATACATTATTCGTGATTTATATTGCACGTTAATTTTGGAATGACAAAAGTGATATTACACGTATTTTTCAACTTTTTATCCTTTATTATTCAAAACAAAATTAGTAATAATTATAATACTTAAAAAGGCATAATATATAGATATATATTTTAATTTAACCGCCTATATAATGTCCTCTAATTTAAAATATACATAGAAACTTAAATTTATATAAAAGACGAATAAATAAATACACATATCTATAAATTGCCAAAAAAAATACATAACTTGTTCAACTCTATATAAATCTAAGTACATATTTATAGACAACCATAATTAAAAAGACATGCTCCTTTCGTTCTTTTTTAGTTGTCACGGTTGCCTTTTTTTAGAGTCAAACAATAAGAACTTTGATTAATATTTTATAATGTATTTTTTCATCATATATTCATATTATTATGCAAAAAATTACAACTTATAATATTTTTCATTTATCAATAATTTTAATTTAAAATATCAAATTAATATAATCTAATTTATCTCTAAAAACCAATCAAATTAATATTTGAAAAACGCAATATAACAACTAAAAAGGAACCAGAGTAAATATCAAATAAGTCAAGTTTAAAGGCACATTTATGCCATAAAAAAACTAGAGCTTTCAATATGGGCTAACTCACCCCATCCTGGCTAACCCATACATGCTTTGCAATTTGACTGGTCAGGCCGGGCAAGCCCATCTTTTTATGTGGGCCAGAAAATGATCGGCCTAGTCCACAAGTGTGTGGGCTACGGGCTTTGTCGGGCCAGTCGCCCAGACCTCTTTTCTTAAAAGTATATTTTTATAATTTTTTAAATTAAATTATAATTTAAAAATATTATCATAAAAATCAACTAGTGTTACTACTTGTCAATCAAATATACAAATAAAATTATCTATATAATATTTAGGGATAAGGGTCTGAAAAATACCTAACTTTGATCGAATTTACTGTTGCGATACTAAACTTTCATGAGGACCTATTACCTTCCTAGACTATTTAATACCAGATTTTAAACATATATATTTGCCCACGTGGACATAAAAAATAATGCAAAATTATAAATAGTAATATGTCCACGTGGGCATATATATACATTTAAAATACACTATTAAATAGTTCAGGGGCTAAAAAATACGGTATTAAATAGTTTAGGGAGGTAATAGGTCCTCATGAAAATTTAATATCGCAACAGCAAATTCGACCAAAGTTGGGGTATTTTTCAGACCCTTATCCCTAATATTTATTAAGTTTGATTTCAAGTAAAAATATAAATAGCTAAATAGAAATATTAACTTAATTGTTTTCCAATGATCACAATAATACACAAAAACCATGATAATATTCAATAGGCTATGACCTGTAGTGATTCCCTAGAAATTTTAGGAACTTTATTTTATGTAGTACATATTTTATAAACATAATTTGTATTTAAATTGTAATATTTCAAATTTTAAACAGATTTTGAGTGTAGACTCCTGTTATTTTTGATACTCTATTTTATTTTTATTTTTTAATTAATTTTTATTTGGCCCACGAGCCGGCCCTATTCATATTTCTCAACCCCACAAATCGACAGACTTATTCAAGTCGGGCTAAAAAGTTTTTTTCTTAAATGAGCTCTAAAAATCGTAGTCCTCTTCTATCAAATCACGGGTTAGGTTACGCCGGCCCAACGGGCCTAACCCATAGACGGCTCTAAAAAAAAAAAAAACCAAAGCAAAGTAAATTAAATTAAATTAAAACAAGAGCGCAATTCACCGCACGTATCAAAATAAAGAACCACTCGTTCTTTTGGCGCCCTAAATTTCGTCGGCGAGCACTCTATTTCTCCGACTTACCTCCGGTGACCGTGTTTTCTTCAGAAAAACGAATTTAAAGGGGAGAAAGTACAGAAGTTCCTGCAGAAAAATGAATATCAGTAGTAGCCGGGATGACTACAAGTTCCTTCAAATAGTAGATGCCAGGGCTGCACTTGGCCAGAAAGTTAATCTCATCGGCGTCGTTATCGAAACCGGTCTTCCCAAGCAATCCAAGGGCACGGGTAATTTCTTCTTCTCAAATATTCTTTCCTTACATTTTATGCAACTTCTCCCTTATTTCTACCTGTTTTAAATAGTTGAACAGGAGTATAATTTCCTCGTGGCGTATTTAAATATTTCAATTTAGGAGTGTTATTGTTGACATGTACTTTCTGATTCCACATTTAGTTGAAAAATAAAAATAAATTCAAGGACGAAGTCGACTTGAAAGTTGAGGCATTTTTCAAGTTTCACTAGTTTATATCCAGAAGCTAGTCACTAATTTGGCATCAACACTTGCTCAAAGGTGCATTGAGCTGTTGAACATAATGTAGAAAGAATAGAAAAGGCCTTCACAGGAACACATCTGCTAATTGGTCTTTAGTTGGGACAATAGAAAGAGAAATAAGACCATCAAATAGCTTTCTCGGGAAAAAATGACAATCCAGCTCAATATACTAGTCACCTTTGTGAAAGATAGAGTTTTTAGCAAGGTGGATACAACTTGATTGTCACAATAGGCAGCAGTCAAAGTAAGAGAGGTAATAGAAAATTCCACAAACAATTGAACGACAAAGACAACTCTGCAACTACTTTTTGGAGGGATCTGTACTCACCAAGGATAAGGAGTAGTAGCTTCTTTCCTTGATTTCTGTAAAATTGGACTATTGCCAAGCATGTCAGAACAACCATTGACATTCTCCTTTGAATCTGGGTAAGTTTCCCTATCGCCATTACCGAAGGTTTGAAGAGAAAGAGAAAATCATTTGAAGTGAACAAACCTAGGCAGACAAATGATTTCAGATACCAAAGGGTGGGAAATGCTGCTTTGAAGGTGAGAAAACTTGGGAGTTAGCATGAATGACTTAGCAGCTAACCTGCTAAGATAAGTCAGGAAGTTCAGTTTGCCCGGCCAATTTTCTGTCGATTGTAGGATCAGATAGTAAACTCCCATCAGGAGCAGTACACTCAATTGCGGGTCCAAAGGGATATTGGCTGAAGGAAAATCTGAACGATGAAATTTATCCAATATTCCAAGAGTGAATTTTCTATGGCTGATCAGAATACATTAGCCAGTGTCTAAGACTTCCAAATACAGGAAGTAGTCAAAGACCCTAATTCATTGATTTTAAAAGTGAGATCCAGAAAATGCTTCAGCTTAGTAATCCAAAGCATGAGGCCTAGTCACCAGAACAATATCTGCATATAGGCATGAAAATGCAAAGGTCATTATCCTTATTAAAGAATAAAGAATGTTCATCCTGAGAATGCTGAAATCCTCTGGAATGTAAGATTACTCAAAGCTTGGTATACAATTGGTTGAATGCCTATTTTAGACCATTAAGTGATTTCCTCACATGCAGACACTGAGGCTAAGAGAAGACACTATAGACCCTGAGGGACCTTCGTATAGATTTCCCCTTTTCAGCATCATAGAAGAAAGCATTGTTCACATCTGGTTGGTATATATTCCACCACTTCTTCACTGCTTTACATAAATCACATAATGGTTGTTATCTAACTATTGGATAACAAGTTTTAGTATAGTCTATACCCTCTTCACCAAGGTTTTCAAAATGATTAAATAAATAGTCTATACCCTCTTGATTAAAAAGGAAGGAGAAGGTATAGTATTGGGACTTGAAAGATATAAAGTAAAGCTGGAGATTACAGGGAATAGTCAAAGAGAAGGTATAGTCTATACCTTCTCTTTGACTATTCCCTGTAATCTCCAGCTTTGCTTTATATCTTTCAAGTCCCAATAACCCTCCTTTTATCCCGCTTTGAACCAATGTCAAATTCCACTAGGTTCCCAGTGTATTGGAGAGGATATAGTCAATATAATTAATTTGTTAGAATGTCCACATTAGTTGAGGAAATGAGTTGTTATCCTTACAAGTAAATAAAAGTCTACCCTTTGTAACATTTTAAGTTTTCAGATGAAATGGTTACACAATACAATAGTACAAATGGGAAAGACTCAAATTGGTCAGATGACTCCAACGCACACAACTCTCTTGCAAATCCTAGATCAGGTTGATCAATTGAATGCTTAAGTGAATAAAGACTGAGCAAGAATCAAGTAAATGTAAGTGCTATAACAGCCGCAAAGAAAGCGATTGTGAAGAGTCCCAAGTAGGAGCTTTAAGGGATGGGTGGTCTCTTTAATATGGACAATCCTCACCTCTTGAGCTAGCTGTTGGGGTTGAGTTAGACCCAAAACCCATTTCTTTACATGGTATCGGGGTAGGACTCATCCCAATTCTTGTTTTCCAGTGTTGTAGCTCCATATTAAATTGCCCATGTTCTAGATGTCCAACCATAGGCGTGAGGGGAGGGGTGTGTAAAGAGTCCCACATCGGTGCTTTAAGAGATGAGTGATCTACTTAATATGGTTTGGACATTCCTTACCTCTTAAACTAGCTCTTGAGTTAAGTTAGGCCGAAGATCCATTTTTTACGGAGATTAACAAAACCAATGTGAGTGGCTAATTGAGCGGGAATGATGCCTTCATCAAGGCAAACCATTAGCTACAAATATTTGTTGCTTAACTTTTTATGCATACCACCAGCACTTGCGTTAGTGCATTATAACAACTACAACATACCGAGTGCGATTCCACAAGTGGGGTTTGGGGAGGGTAGAGTGTATGCAAACCTTACCCCTACCTTGTGTGAGGTAGAGAGGTTCTTTCTGATAGATCATCGGCTCAAGGAAAGCATTTTAAAAACAGGTTTGATAAATACAAGTGCATTGAGTTGTTGAATGCCATATGTTGTACTCATCACATTTTGGGATATGGAGTAGTTAATATCTCAAACCTTTTTTTTCCCCACAACATTGTGTGGAATGAACGTTTTGGGCTTGATTTTGGCGTCTTTTGTTTGTATTTTTGTAGATTGCTTTTGCTCCATTAGGATCATTGATGAGTCCTACCCAAGCCCAGGGATTGCAGTTAATTTTTTTGCCGAAACTATGGATAAGCTTCCTGAAGTGCTGACTGTTGGTGATATAATTCAGATCTCTCAAGTTGTGGTAACTAATTTTGCTCCAATATTTGCTTGTTGCCTTTTGGGTGTAAAAGATTCTTGAACATTTTTTCATATGATGGAAATGTTGAAATTATAGATAGAGTAACTAAATCTTGAATAAATGTTGAAATGGGCTGAATTTTCTTTTGAAAACTATGCACCATATTCGACAAGGTGTAAATATGGAGTTACAATTGGCATTACCTAGAATTCTTGGCTTTTTAAAGGGTACACTCCTTTCCCAAACCAAATTTTGGAAGGACTTCAAATAGCTTGAGTACTTCCAATGGACCAGCTCATGATATTTTTACTAAATAGAAGACTTGATTTCCCCAGCGGTTGATTGATATTTTAGCATCCTTCACAATTCAGGTATCCTCCTGTAGACAGAAGCAACTCACCAGAGATTTTGTTGTTTCTTTTATATGGGATCTGATTTACCTACATTATGATTAGGAGGGGCCGCCTTTGCAGTTAATCAGCCACTTGGAAGAGTGTTCTTATCCTCTGTTTTTTGATAAGGGGAAAAGTGCTTGTTGCTTCTAAAAAATTATGAGAATAGATTGACTATCTTGTTCCACAGCCCTTCATCCTCTAGACTCTGTTATATTTGAACTGCTTATGAATCTACTATTATAGATCACGGGCAAAGGCCAAGTGGAAACAAATAAAAGTCAATTTCTCAAGGAAATAGATTAGCATTAATTGGATTGGCCAACAAACTGAATGCATGATCTTGTCCTGATTGAGTGAACTTTTATTGTTCTTAAGTACTATTTTCTGGAAGTAAAAATATTGTGTCAATCCTTACAAGTGGTATTCTTCGGCTTGCAGATGAAAACTCATGGACCCGATATTTATGCTTTGTTCAACAAGAAGTTCTCTTCATTTGCAATATTTGACGGAAAGAATGATTCAAATTTCCTCCCTTATCAATGTTCTTCTAAGTATCATGCTAGAGAGCAAGACAAGAAATTTATACTGGGTTTGATGAAGTGGTTGGTTGATCACAAGATTGATACAGGTACTCGCAAGTCGCATCACTAGTGCCAACTGCAGAGTGATGCTTATAATAGAATTCTGAGCTAAAAGTACATAACAATTAATTATTTAGCTTCTGAAGGTTGCATAAAAGGATGTATCCTACATTGATGATTCTATTTAGGTGTACATGTCCATTATGGATATACGGGTACATATAATTCAATGAATATTTGGTGTAGTTTGAAAGAATTTTCATGAAGAACCCTTGTCACACTTGTTTGACACAGACATGCCAAGAGTCAAGACAAAGAATGGATCCATATAGCATAGGATGGGGCAGCTAACTTTGCTTCCTGTGAAAGGTGTTTGAGATATGTGTGTGCACATTTACCTGTAGTTATCTAGTTGTTTTAGCTTCTCACATAATCTTAGTTAATAGTAACTCTATCCTTCTTTGAACATCAGTTTTTCTTTCAAGGATTGATCCACTAACAAAATCCCTTCCCAGATGCCATTGGTATTCTGGTAGTGCTTTTCCTTTTTTTTTGGTAAATTAATTTATTTTGTTGTTTGAATTTTCTGCCACCTCCCTCAGAATATGCTCACAATTTTCTTGGTACTCAGGAGATGCTTCATTTTCTTGATAGGTTTGACTGATTTACATTCGTTGAAAGAGATCAGAGAAGGAGAACGTTTCAACTTGATCTGCAAGGTACTTTTTTTTAATAAGTGATCTGCAAGATAGTTTTGTGTCTTAAAATAACTGTACTTAAATGTATCTTGAATATATTGGCAAGCACAGTATGTGCTACATGTTCTTAGGTACTGACACAACATTCAAAATCACTAACACTTTCATTGCAAATTACACTGGCATATGCCAGATTGTTCACGTATGTGAAGTTGAAAAAAACAAGTGGATGCTTCTCGTATGGGATGGCATGGATACTCCACCGGTCACTATCAAAACAAAGTGAGTGTTCCCTACTTTCTAATCAGGCTTCGAACTAGAGGTACGATGGTAACCCCCCCTTGATATGAGATACTTGTGTAGGAAGGCGTAATTGATGATCTTCCCTGGATTTCTGAATTAGTTAAATGGCCACTTTGTGCTTGCGATGTGTGATACTGGGCACTTCTGTTGGAATGATATTTCTTTTATCTGCTCTCACCACTGAACTGAAATAAGTATGTGCTAGTGGAAACTACATCTATTTAATGCAATACTACATATTTTTTTGGTAATTAAATACTAGATTTATATCATAGTTCAAATGATGTTCTCTCTCAAAATAATGGTAGATTCGTTGAACAACAAGCTCAGAATTGGGCTTAAGAACAAGATATGCTTTGAGGGGAGGGGAAAAAACTGCAGATTGCTAGAGTAAAAAACAAATGTATCAATAGCTTGTTCTTTTGGTGTTATAGCAGTACTCTAGATAGGATAGACCAATATTTGGACTTTTTGGATTTTCTTTTTGTGGGGGTAGGGGGATGTAGTATGACTGTGAAGATGTTGTAGCTTTATCAAAAGAATTGGCCTTAAGAGCATAATTCAATAGGCCAAAGCTCTTTGATAATATTCAAACATTAACAGCCAAACTTGTTTGCTTCCTGATCTTAATGAGTATCACCAAATTTCCTACATAACTGAGATTTATATTACTTAAATTAAAAGGTCCAAGAAAGATGAGCCTCAAATGTCCACTACAATATCTGTCTTCTTCCAGTACATATAAAGATATAATCAAACCTCTGTTGAACTAATTACTTCAGAGAGGTAAACTGAATACCTGCTTGCCTGCTTCTTTGCAGAAAGCTTTTTCATATGTTATGGATGATTTGGTACCTGATCCTGATATGCTGTGGCCAATTGTTTCATGATTACAGGCTAGAAGAAGAAATGGAAAACCCACTTCCATTGCAGCCTGTGGACTTCATTTTGCAAAGAGATGTTCTCTGTACCTTGCCACCTCTTGGAACTGTCTTGAGGGTAATCGTTGATCGTTGCAACGAGAAACTTGGCATTAACTTCCTCAAGAGCAATCGGTGGGTGAAACTAATTAACATTAGATGTGAACTTCATGCAGCATTGTGGCATGCTATCCTAATGCCCTTTACTAGGGTTTGCTACTTATCTGATGAAGATGACATCGTTTTACAGCGCATGAGGTATTTCTTCTTCCAGTTTTAATACATACATAGTACAATCTTGGGTGGAATTTTCTTAAAGAAAAATAATGTTAGGTGTGAAACTCCTATCAGAAAAGAAAAAAGAAAAAAGTAAACAATGGTGTGAAACTCAATTGCATGATAAACATGGTCATCATTTTTATTTGACAAGCATGTCATAGCCCATGACTTCATAACATGGATGCTCATGCCCGCCACAATTATCAGTTCCATATCTACTCTTGGCAGCAAGGTGTTTTGTAACAATCTACTATAATACCATGCCCTCTGAATTTACCTCAATTGTTTGCAATTACATTATAGCCAGTACGATGAGCGTCGTAAATCCAAATGGGGATGGATGCCTTTGTCAAGCTTTCCTTGGTCATCTGACATAGCAGGTTTTGCCTTGTATGCTCAAGCAATGTTTTTGATGCTTTAATAACACATTCTAACATTTCTTTTATTTCCTAAATTCTCAGAGACCGACTACCCTAATGTACCTTTTGTCTCCTTGATGAGAGCTCTGGCGAATCCAAAGGTATCTCAACCACTTTACTGGGCCATTATTTCCTTCTTTTGCGCTCTTAGTATTTCAAGTATTGAAGATATATTAACACTATCTTTACAAGTTAATTATTGGACGTTACAAAAAAAATTTGCATCTTGACTTTTTATTACACATTGGCATCCTAACACGTTATGTGCTTTCAATTGATCCTAGCTAGACTGGAAGATTGTATTGATAAAGGAAGTAGTTTTGTCTTTGAACCATCTTTTTTTTTTCGATGTTGCAAACTACCATACATCTTCACACTCAAACATTTAACATTTCATTTTCTTTATAATTGATGCTGTTAGAATATAAATAAGTATTTCCTACTTAGAATAGAAATAGGAATATGAATAGGAATAAGAATAGGAATCCTAGTTGGAAAAGGATTCCAATGTAGTGTCTATAAATAGGGTCTCAATGTAACTATTTAGATACACAATTCAATAATATTTTTCGTATATATTTCTCACATGGTATCAGAGCATTGGTGAGAACAAACAAGTCACCGTATGTCTATGTCAATTTCCGGTGACTGTTGGGTCTGATTTTGTTATTCTTTTTTCTTTTTGTGGGTGTTGTGCGAAAACCAACACCACCATGAGGCTCGGAAAGCCCCCGCGACCAAACCCCAGCCAAAACCACCGGAAAACACCACCCCACGCACTCTCACACGCCGATCAGAGGTGGTAGTTTTCGGCGAGATCTGTCTCACGCGGCGCGTGAGGGCTTTTCTGATCATATTTTTTGAGATTTTTTTTTTGACAGTTGGGGTCGTCCCGCCAATCCGACCAGGCCCATACTGTTTTTGACCAGATCCGATCGCCGGAATTAGAGTTTCGGCTATTTCCAGGCAGTTTTCGGCGACTTTTCTTCGAGATTTGAATTTTCCGAGACAAATTTAGCATAATGTCTTTTGGGTGTGATGTTTTTGGTTCCAAAAATATGGGGATTGGAAGTTCTATCCCTATAATCACTTCAGAACTTTTATTGGGAAGTTCAAACTATTTATCTTGGGCTTCCTCGGTTGAGCTGTGGTGCAAGGGTCAAGGTGTCCAAGATCACTTAACGAACAAGGCTTATGAGGTAGATGTAAATGCATAGACTAGTGAGGAAGATGCAAAAGCCAAAGCACAATGGGAGAAAGTAGATGCTCAATTATGTAGTCTCCTATGGCGTTCTATTGATTCCAAGTTGATGCCCTTGTTTCACCCATTCCAGACGTGTTATACAGTTTGGGAAAAGGCTCGTGCTTTATACACTAATGACATATCTCGATTCTATGATGTGATATCTCGATTGACCAACTTAAAGAAACAAGAATCCGATATGTCTACTTACTTGGGACAGGTACAGGCAGACATGGAGGAGTTTGACACATTAATGCCAGTTACTACGAATGTGGAAAAACAACAAGAACACAGACAAACATTGTTTCTAGTTCTTACTCTTGCTGGACTTCCTCCTGATCATGATTTTGTACGTGATCAGATTTTAGCTAGCCCTACAGTTCCTACAATCGATGAATTATTCTCTCGTCTCCTTCGTCTTGCGGCACCTCCCAGTCACAAGGTAGTTTCATCACCCACTGTTGACTCATCTATTCTCGCATCTCAAACCTTTGAAAAACGTACATATCAATCTATGGAGAATCGGCGAGGGGGAGGGCGTTTTGGGAAACCTCGATCCAAGTGTAGTCATTGTCATAAGCCTGGACACACTCGTGATATATGTTATATTTTGCATGGTCCACCACCCAGTTATGATCCTATTGTTCTAAAGGAATATAATGAGTTCCTTCGAAATCGCGCAAGTAAACAGACATCTCCACCAGTAGCATATGGTGCTCAACCTAATCAACCATCCAATAATGCTCATATTGCTCAGACAGAATATGATGAGTTCCTTCAGTATCGTGCAAATAAGCAAACGTCTCCACAAGTAGTTTCGGTTGCACAACCTGATGTCTCTGTTGCGGGTAATTCTTTTGCTTGTGTGTCGCAATCTAGTACTCTTGGAACATGGGTCATGGACTCTGGAGCTTCTGATCATATCTCTGGTAATAAATCACTTTTATCCGATATTGTTTATTCACAATCTCTTCCAGCTATTACTTTAGCCAATGGGATCCAAACCAAACCAAAAGGGGTTGGAAAAGCCAAACCCTTATCTTCTGTCACCCTAGACTTTGTTCTTTATGTCCCTGGTTCTCCTTTTAATCTAGCATCTGTTAGTCGTTTGACGAAAGCCCTACATTGTATCATAACTTTTTTCGATGATTTTTTTCTCATGCAGGACCGCAGTACGGGACAAATGATTGGAACAGGACATGAATCACAAGGCCTTTACTATTTTACCTCTTCAAATTCCTTAGCAGCATGCTCCGTTACAGATTCCCCAGATTTAATTCACAAACGTTTGGGACATCCGAGTCTATCCAAACTGCAAAAGATGGTGCCTAGTTTGTCTAGTTTATCCACATTAGATTGTAAGTCGTGTCAACTTGGGAAACACACTCGTGCTACGTTTTCTCGTAGTACTGAGGGTCGTTCAGAGTCTATTTTTTCATTAGTTCATTCTGATATTTGGGGTCCTAGTAGAGTCAGTTCCACCTTAGGATTTCGTTATTTTGTTAGTTTCATTGATGATTATTCAAAATGTACTTGGGTTTTCTTAATGAAAGATCGTTCTGAGTTGTTTCTATTTTCAAAAGTTTCTTTGCTGAAATACAAAATCAGTTTGGTGTTTCTATTCGTACTTTTCGTAGTGATAATGCCTTAGAATACTTATCCTCCCAGTTTCAGGAGTTTATGACTCACCAAGGCATTATTCACCAGACTACTTGTCCATACACCCTTCAACAAAATGGTGTAGCTGAAAGAAAAAATCGGCATCTTATTGAGACCGCTCGTACTCTTCTCCTTGAATCCAATGTTCCACTGCGTTTTTGGGGAGATGCAGTTCTTACGTCTTGTTATTTGATAAATAAAATGCCCTCTTCTTCTATTCAGAATCAGGTTCCCCATTCCATACTGTTTCCTCAGTCACATCTCTATCCTATCCCTCCTCGTGTCTTTGGGAGCACATGCTTTGTTCATAACTTAGCCCCAGGAAAAGATAAATTAGCTCCTCGTGCCCTCAAATGTGTCTTTCTTGGTTACTCTCGAGTCCAAAAAGGGTATCGTTGTTATTCACATGATCTTCATCGATACCTTATGTCCGCTGATGTTACATTTTTTGAGTCTCAGCCTTACTATACATCTTCTGATCATCCTGATGTCTCTATGGTCTTACCCATACCTCAGGTTTTACCTGTGCCAACCTTTGAGGAATCTACGGTTACTTCTACATCTCTAGTTGTAGTGCCACCACTACTAACTTATCATCGCCGTCCACGTCCAACCCTAGTCCCAGATAATTCATGTCATGCGCCGGACCCTGCTCCTACTGCGGACTTGCCTCCTTCTAGCCAACCGCTTGCACTTCAAAAAGGTATACGATCCACTCGAAATACTAACCCACATTATACCTTCTTAAGTTATCATCGTCTATCATCACCCCATTATGCATTTGTGTCGGCTTTGTCCTCTATTTCCATTCCTAATACTACAGGTGAAGCACTTTCTCATTCTGGATGGAGGCAGGCTATGGTTGATGAGATGTCTGCTTTACATAAGAGCGGTACTTGGGAGCTTGTCTCCCTTCCTGCAGGTAAATCTACTGTTGGTTGTCGTTGGGTTTATGCAGTCAAAATTGGTCCAAACGGTCAGGTTGATCGACTTAAGGCTCGCCTTGTTGCCAAAGGGTATACTCAGATATTTGGGCTAGATTATAGTGACACTTTCGCTCCTGTGGCTAAAATTGCATCTGTTCGTCTTTTTCTATCTATGGTTGCCGTTCGTCATTGGCCTCTTCATCAGTTGGACATTAAGAATGCTTTTCTGCATGGTGATCTTGAGGAAGAAGTCTATATGGAGCAACCACCTGGTTTTGTTGCTTAGGGGGAGTCTAGTAGCCTTGTATGTCGATTGCGCAGGTCACTCTATGGTCTAAAACAGTCTCCTCGAGCTTGGTTCGGGAAGTTCAGCACAGTAATTCAGGAGTTTGGCATGACTCGTAGTGGAGCTGATCACTCTGTGTTTTATCGGCATTCTGCACCAAGTCGATGTATCTATTTGGTTGTTTACGTTGATATTGTTATCACCGGTAATGATCAAGATGGTATCACCGATTTGAAGCAACATCTCTTTAAGCACTTCCAAACTAAAGACCTTGGCAGATTGAAGTATTTTCTAGGTATTGAGGTTGCTTAGTCTAGATCAGGTATTGTTATTTCTCAACGCAAGTATGCCTTAGACATTCTTGAGGAGACAGGAATGATGGGATGTAGACCTATTGACACTCTTATGGATTCGAATGTTAAACTCCTTCCAGGACAGTGGGAGCCACTTAGTAAACCTGAAAGGTATAGACGACTTGTTGGAAAGTTGAATTATCTCACAGTGACTAGACCTGACATCTCTTTTCCTGTGAGTGTTGTAAGTCAGTTTATGACTTCCCCATGTGATAGTCATTGGGAAGCAGTTGTTCGTATTCTGCGTTATATAAAGTCAGCTCCCGGTAAAGGACTACTCTTTGAGGATCAAGGCCATGAGCATATCATTGGATATACAGACGCTGATTGGGCAGGATCACCCTCTGACAGACGTTCGACATCCGGATATTGTGTTTTAGTAGGAGGTAATTTGGTGTCGTGGAAGAGTAAGAAACAGAATGTGGTTGCTCGATCTAGTGCAGAATCAGAATATCGAGCAATGGCGACAGCAACTTGTGAGCTAGTTTGGATCAAACAGTTGCTGGGAGAACTAAAATTTGGCAAAGTTGATCAGATGGAACTTGTGTGTGATAATCAAGCGGCTCTTTAAATCGCATCAAATCTAGTGTTTCATGAAAGGACTAAGCACATTGAGATTGACTGTCACTTTGTCAGAGAAAAGATACTCTCGGGAGATATTGTTACGAAATTTGTGAAGTCAAATGATCAGCTTGCAGATATCTTCACCAAGTCCTTCACATGTCCTCGTATTAATTACATCTGTAACAAGCTAGGTACATATGATTTGTATGCACCAGCTTGAGGGGGAGTGTTAGAATAGAAATAAGTATTTCCTACTTAGAATAGAAAGAGGAATCCTAGTTGGAAAAGGATTCCAATGTAGTGTCTATAAATAGGATCTCAATGTAACTATTTAGATACACAATTCAATAATATTTTTCGTATATATTTCTCACAGATGCTGAAAGGGCTAAAAATCCTATTAATTTAAGAAAACGGCAATGCATGATATGCTTTGATCTCTTTAAAGTACCAGTTGTTATCAACTGGGTGAATCTTCTGGATACTTGGCAGCGTTAAAGACTTGAGAAAATTTTAGCGGTCAGTTTTATGTTATTCCTCCCTGATTCCATTGATCTGGATGACTTCTCTCTGTGAAGTTGCTTCTTATGGAAATATCTTTTCTTAGGTCTTGAATAAGAATATTAAGTTTCATTTTTCCTGCTGATTATACTGTATCTGTATTCCACTAGTGATAGTGGAAAAGGGGTGCACGGGAAACAATATATGCGAGGAAAATTGATGCTTGATGTAGTGCAAGTTTCTTTTTCAGTTTCATCATAGAAGCTATAGAGTTGGGATGATTCTAGTAACATTTTTTTTTGATAAGGTAACTTTATATTCACATCAAAACTCATCAGCAAAGCCTGATGAGGTGGGATTTACAGCCCCCAGGGGGTAATTTCAAAAGCCAAAAACTGGGCAAAACTTTACAATTGAGCTTTAAAATCCACTAAGCTATCTACCTCCCCCACCAAATCCTGTTTACACCAAAAATACAGCAGGCCCAAGCTATTCATCTTGATTTTCTGAGTGCTGTTAAGTTTCCCATCATGTGATCTTTCATTTCTTTCCTTCCACAATGTCCACCAGATGCAGGCTGGGATGCATTTCCACCAGTCCTCTTTGGATCTTCTTCTTCTGCCCACTCCTTCCCACTGTCTCAACAACTCTAAAGTAGTTTTGGGCATTACCCAGTTAATTCCAAGTATACATAAGAACATGTCCCACAGATTTGCAGCTGTTCTGCAGTGTAAGAATAGGTGACTATTAACTTCTGCCTCTTCCCCACACATGAAACACCTTGAGCAAATCTGTATACCTCTTCTTTGTAACACTTCATGAGTTAGACATGCTTTCCTAATTGCCAACCAAATAAAACCTGAGACCTTGTGGGGAACCTTGATTTTCCAGATTAGTTTCCAAGGCCATTCCATTTCCATAGCCTGGTTAGAGTTTAAGCTCCAGTAACAAGACTTCACAGAAAAAATCCCTTTCTTGTGCATTTTCCAGATTGGAGTATCAGGACTTTCAGTGACACCTGGAAAAGCATTCTTTTTCTTTTGTACTACATATATGACTTCACTCTTTTTATCACTTAACATCATTGAGCTTATTATATGGCTTTTTTAGTGTTGTATTTCCGTTTTTTACTGATTTTGATATGTTTTACTTGAGCTGAGAGTCTATCAGAAACAACCTCTACCTTCACAAGGTAGGGGTAAGGCTGCGTTACACATCACCGTCCCAAACCCAACTTGTGGGATTACACTGGGTATGTTGTTGTTTGTTGTTGTACATCATTGAGCTTATTGCTTGCAGGTCATAGGTAAATTCCACTGTGTAGTTCGAGTGGTAGCGGCATTTCCTTGGCTAGCTGAAGATTTCCGTTCCCCTTCTGGGGTTTATAGGATCAGGTTGACCCTAGAGGATCCAACTGCAAGAATCCATGCATATCTGTATAAAGAGGATGCGGTAATAATTGTTTGTGTACTTGCAATCTTTTATCAATCTTTCTTGAGTATACTGCAGCACATTGATAGCCATTTAGGGACTGTGTTTCATGACATAGCTCAGTATAAATATGTTTCCTGGACTTGGATATCAGTATTTTGTGTATGGTTTTATGTATTTGTGAGGGTGTCTATGACATACCTATACTCATACTAAACTGTTCGGCTTTGTTATCTTGAAGCAAAATGAAGATTCCTGTGTCAATAGTTGTTGATGTTGTACAAACAACTATTACTTGCCAAATCATCCACCAATTGATTGGGAAATGATGAGATTGTGGCCCTTGAAGATTATGAATGTTAGGCCTTGATGTGCTACATCAAGATGATGTTAAAATATTCTGTTAGTTTATATTATTGCGTAAATTTGTTAATAAACTTGATTTGCATGCTTTAATTGTTTGAGCTACTAACTTGTCGATCTTGGTTTTGAGGTAATACTACTATACTTGGCAGGAACAGTTTTTTGACGGCTACCCCTCTGTTTATACATTAACAAAAAAGAGGAATTTGTTGCTTGGAACTTCTGAAGGCGATGATGGTAGTGAAATGAATGATCATTTTAGAAATCCACCCTGGATCAGGTGTTGCTTAAAGTCTTACCATATCGACGACAGTGATAGTTGGGGAAGTAGGAACTTTCGAATTTTTGCTACCACTATGAAAGCATAGGAGATTGTCCATTCTGTATGCCTCCAGTGCTTTCAATTAATGTAATGTAGTTTGGCCTCTTCTGCAAATGTACTGAGGCAGTTGCTAGCAAGTAGCTTAGAATGACCTAACCTATTTCTTTTGCTTCTGTAAATGTAATCATGCTAGCACACAATAGCTTTGCTTTCATGTAGGTAAAGAAGCTTAAAGCTCCCTTATCATTATCTAAACTTTCTTCGCTGTCGTTTCTATTATTTACTTTTGGTATCATATAAAACGTTTGCTAGAACCATCCATGTGGGAGTTGAGACTACATGACATTCCCTCGAATCACTTGGCTTAGAGGTCAATATGCATAATAGTTGTTTCAAGAAAACAGTTAGTGAAGCCTTTTAGAAATAGAACGTTTTAAACAATGAAAGAAAGTATCAAGTAGTTTACTGAGGAAATTACAAGATAAATAGAAAATATACTCGGCTGCAGACTACCATCAGATGGTTCGAATTTGCTGTGTGAAGTGTTAGAAACCAATGATTTATTCGTCTCTTCAAGTACACAGAATAGCACAGGTGCTGCCATCTATCAATACAAAATCAACATGGCTACGAATATTATTCTACTTTCAATGGTCTGAAACTACGTCCAAAATCACTGGATTGGTATACTAAGTACAGATTGAACAGGTTAATTGGAAGCTAATAATTTCTTACTTCGACAATTTTGAAGATAAGATACAGATTTGTGCTAAACCAAACAAAAGCGGCTGAAGAACAGTATAGAGACACGAAACAATATACTACCTCTTAATACCAAAAATCCCACACAATAGTACAGAGAAAAAAAGTTTTTTATGGTCGGTTAAAGTTTGTTGCATTACTGTGATACCTTCAATCTGGAAAAATATTTGATCTTTATATTGTGCAATAAAGAGATGTTTTTTTGTCGACATTCAACATCATCATTCAGAGTAAATTACGAAGATTGACAGAATTAACATGACCATAGCCACTTTGTCACCACAAAAGGTGTACTAAAATCTGAAAATTTAAGCATTTGATAGCAATAGGATGTATCAAAATCCACTTCGGGAAAAACAGAGTATTAATTAAACAAAACACAAGGAACAGGTTCAAACACTTAAACAATATAGAGATCTCATCTAAAGCCAAAATGCTCATTCATCCTCCTGGCTGTGCAACCTAGCAAGCTTGTTTGTTATGACAACATCAAGCTGGGCAGCTCGCTCGACGATCTCTTTCCTCTTCCTGGTGGAAACATTATGTGCAATTTCTGCACAGTAAGTTCTGGCAAGGAAAGAAAAACATGTTGGATGACGAGACAAAAGATAAATTAAACTCATAGTTATAGTACAAATTAGGTGACAGGCAAGTGAGCATATCAAGTTACCTGTTGTGCATCATTAGGATCTCAAGCTCACTAGCATTATGCACAACAAACTTCTTGAAGCCATTGGGAAGATAGTGGCGAGTCTTCTTGTCTGACCCGTAACCAATATTGGGCATCAAGACACATCCCTTGAACTTTCTCCTCACTCTAGAATCAATACCCTTGGGTCTGCGCCAGCTTTCCTATTATAAAAAAATTGAATGCTCAGGTCCAATTAGTAAGCTTGCTCAGTCCAAATACAACTGAAGAACCAAAAGACTTCTAGAAACTACACATGAATTCACATATTTCATAGGGCAGCCACCATTATCACCAGTTTAGAGATCTAATTCAATTAAGCAAACGAAGCATCACTGCCACAAGTCCACAACAACCCACTATACAGCCGTCACTTCACAGTCCAAACACCCAAAGACATACAGCTATTAACAAACAGTTGCTGAATACTCAAAGAAGGTATTATTTGGATGAATGGTGCTACAAGATATTAATAACAGAATGATAAAGCCAAACAAACCAGAGAAATTGAAAAAAAAGGATGCCTATGTGATACTAAAAGGAGGATCTTTATCTAAATGGATGAACCGGATATGCAACTTAGCTATCAAATGTAGTCATATTCACCTTAGGATATCAGCTAAGAAATTCAAGGAGGAAGAAGTAAGGAACACCGAAAGCATGATAAGAAATGCAATAAGAGAGAATTAAGGTAACGCATTTACTGAATTGACACATTCAGACACACAGAAACTCTCTTTCCCTCTCCCTTCCCTTCTTTCAAGGGTCAATTTTTTCTCCTTTTAGACAGATTCGACATAAATTATATCACTTTATCAAAATAATCAAACGCAAAAACAGAATATAGTTAAACCAGGTAGCAAGAAGGAAAATCACACCAAACACTTCACACTTATTCAATATAGATTTTCAACAAAGAGAAATTTAGGGACCAGCAAGAGCCAAATATTAACTTTTTTAGATTCAGCGTTACAAATAAATTTTAAACAAAAGAGTATACCTTGACAGTGATTCTTCGGTCACTCTGAGGTCTAATAAACCTCTTCACTCTCTTCTTCACGACCTTCTTGTTAAGCAGAGGCACGGCCATTGTTGAAGTTCTACCTTACCTTACCTTCTGCAAAATAGACGTCACACATTAGATGCAAAATTTACAAAGATGAATGAAGAAGACAAACTGGAAGAGAGAATACTCACTGGAACTAGGGTTTCTGCTAAGCCGCGAACTCCTTGCTAGAGAAGATTGTTAATGGAGAGTAGTACAATTATATATCAAAGTTGGGGAAATAACTAGGGTTTCAGATGTGAAAGCCCAAAAGGCTTTTATTAGATGGGCCGTATATGTTCAAATGAAACTGAGGCCCACTGTAAGGCCCATGAATAAAATGGAATGTGGTTAAATGTTTTTTCTTTTACTTTTTGAATGCTTATAGCATAAAAACATAACTGAGAATATTAAATAATATTAAAACGTTACTCTAAAAAGATGAAAGATAACATAGAGGATATTATAGTAGATTTAGCGTCTTTTAATCTTATCACTCTGTTTAAATTTAAAAGTTGAATCTTGACAAACTTGTTCATTCATCAACCAACTAGATCAAATATAATAAACAAAGGTGATGGTTAGATTGAAATTGCACCTAATTATATTTCTCGTAATATCGAAATAACAACGGTAGACTCTTGACTTATTTAATAAATGAACTACTAATTGTTAAACCATGTGAACAATATGTGTTATGTTAAATCGAGATTTTTTTTAGTATCATACGGGAGATTAAGGATCTATAAATATAACTTTTTATTACTGGGCTTAAGGTTATATTTTGTGGGCAATAAAAGGAAAATAGAGTTTGTCGATAATCAATAACGATCGGCTATACAAAATTTGAATGAAGACAACTATGTTTCAATGTCCAACAAGACTTTTTATTATTAGGAAGAATAGCCAATTTAGCTTCTCGAACTTGACACAATCTAAATCTCTCTGTATAAAATCCTCTGCCTAGTGATGTAACTCAATTTTTTTCTTTTACAAGGAAACAGATTGTAGTTGGATTCAAATAGGCCGGTGAAAGACGAGTGGGCAAACATGTTGTACTAACGATTGACCAGTGGATCTTCCATCGGATACAAATAAGTCTGTTAAAGATAGTAAGCCACCAACATCACCACCTATAGTTCTATGTAATGCCCAGAAATACTTTTATCAACTTTGATGCAGTGAAATGGATTTTAAAGTTATTACTTAGACATATCTATTCTTATGTTAGTGAGATATAATAGAAGGTCGGTTTACGATTGTTGAGAACTAAAATTGAGATATCATAAGAAATTACATGATTGACGACAAATTGAAATAATAGGTGGTCAGTTTACGACTGTTCTGAAGCGATATAACGCTGGAGTATTTTGTTTATAAATCTGCTAATTTAGATATAATATTGGAGTGGGAAATAGGCATGAAGTAAATGAATATGTCGATAATTCATCATGCCATAATGTTAAGGGAAACATTGTTTTCTACCAATTTCATGATATTTTAGGAGAGATTTTCATTTTTACGATCTAAATAGGTACGCAAATTATAAAAGGGCAGGAGATTTAATTTTCCTCCAAGGAATATGTTGGACTGAGTGTAGCTTAGAACTAGCCTTCCAGTGATGGCTCGACCAAATCCTTCCCTGTTATAAAGTGGAAAAGAATGAACGAATAAAAACAAGGATATAAGAACAACAACAAAAATGAAATTACAGTGAGAAACTAATATATATATATACGTTCAAACCTCCTTCAGTAAGAGATTTCCAAATTTATCTCAAGTAACTAGTTTATGAACCAAAGCAGACGGGGAGAACACGGTAATTACAGATGGTTCCAAGAGCAGTAAAGTGCTAAAGGAAGAAGATGAAGGCCTGCCTTAGTAACTACGATTAAAAATCTGCCACCAGCAATGTGCAAAACCTAAACACTTCCAACTGAAATGGAAGCAGGACGACTCGCAGTTGACCCAGCAACCAAGAACCTTCAAAACAACAATGGAACCGTTGATTTTATAGCAAATAGCTAAGTCCGCCTTTCCTCCCTAAGATTTCCACCAGACCAGGTGGATCTCAAATATTGCCTATTGCTAAGCTTCACCAGCATGAGCAGGAGACAATTTTTTTAACAGAGGAAAGAGAGATGAAATAATGCTAGTACTAATTAAAAGCATTGTACAGAACTATGTTCTTACCATTAGCAGATTTAAGGAACGATCTTCACCAAAAGAAACCATCATCATCCAGATCTCCAGAAAGGTAATTGAAGTCGTCATACTCCAAGTCAGGATAAATATAGTCAAAGTCACTGTAATTATAATAGTTTGAGAGACCATGGTCAGATTCATCATCGGCAGGGTTGTAATCACATATTTGAGCACTTAATTCATAACCATGAGTGCAATCATGAGGGCACTTCAGATCTATAATCTGCTGGCGACATCTCGTTCCAACATCCCCTTCAAGATCAATACTATAGCAATGGCGTAAGTCAAGTGATTCAAGCAGGGGGCAGCCATCAAGAATGGCACACAAACCTTCGTTTGTCATTGTATTCCCAAAAAGTGCAAGGTGTTGCAATTCAGGCATATTTAATGCAATAGCATGAGCTTGATCATCGACATTGATCTGTAATCTTCTAAATCCTGTCAATCCTCCTCTAAATCCACAGACGTTCAATGTAAATGACTTCAGCTGAGAGCACGAACGACCAATAACTTCAATATCCACTATACTAATAGAAGTTAAGTAAATGTGTAACTCCTCCAACAACGGGAAATTTTTAGCTACTGCAGCTAAACTTCCCTTTGAAATATTATCACAGCCGACAAGTTGTAGATGCCTTAGCTGATTTGATCTGTTTAGCAGGGCATAAGATTAGATAAAAAACATAAAAATACAACAAACTTACATTTGAGAAGACTGCAAGTGAAAACACCCATCGAACTCAGAGCTGAATTAGCTAGAAAGCATGCACACAAAGCAAATTGACAACACAAAGATAAGAGATCTAAAACAATGTAAAAGGCTGAACATGACACATGTTAGCAAAAAGTAAACAAAACGGACTGAAGGTAAAGTCATGCACTTGAAGCAAGAATAAAGAAAAATTCAATTCTTATCTCTGAAACCCAACATTCCCTCTTACCCCGCCGCTCCGAAAAAGCAACTTCCAACTTCACAAATCTGCATTTTTAAGCAAAAAGTTGGCTATCTCCTTTGGATTTTCTTAGATCAACATTTTACCACATCATCAAACATTATAAATTCTTACTTCTGCCTATCTGCAATGAAAGCTACATCATTATGATTTCTGCTTTGTCCTTTGTGGTATTAGAAGGGAAATAAAGGGAATACTTTATACATAACAAAACAAAATTTAATTGCCTTGGAAAAGGAAATAATCAACATATCACCATTCCCATTACAATTACACCACAACTTTCAAATTGTCCCTTTTTTCATTTAAAATTATCAGGAAGATCCAGGTAGTGTTCCCCATTTAACATTGGGAGAATGTTACAACCAACTGGAATACAAAGTTGTTTCGTAGTTATTTCAGGGAACACACACTGTATTTGCTACATACTATAACATATTTGTTTCTCTAAAGTCTTTTAACTACTATCAGAAAAGTTTTTTATTAAAATGACAGCAATTCTGTTGTTTCTTCAATGCTTGTAAATCTCCAGGGAAGTGTATCGTTAGTTGGCATGATGTAGTGTTTCAATTGGAGATTGCAAACGGAAATATTAACTTGTGAATTGCACAAATTTATCCAATAATACGTCAGACTCACAGAACTCATAAGAGCCAAGCTCAAGCCAGACTTACGGTTCAAATAAGTTTGGCCTTAAATTAGGATAAAGTGACGACAATGGGGAGCCAGGTTCAAATGTCAAGGAGGTTTACTTGTTTACTTGCATCCTATGCTGCGTGGACTCTTCAAAATCTTTGCCGCACCCGTATCTACACGACATGGTGTAGGTGTAGGATCCATACCGGATTTGGTCAACTTATCTTGGCTACATTTTTGAAAACTTGTTATCGTATTCCTCAGCATTAACGTTTATGCTGGCCACATCCAAAAAGATATCAACAGTGAAAGTTAAAAACTATACAGCAGAAGCCTCCAATTTGAAGGATTTTAGACCAATCAACTTAGTAGGGGGTGTCTACAAACTCATTGCTAGGCTGTTGGCTGAAAGATTGAAGCAAGTGTTGGATAAACTGATCAACAAACATCAGATGGCTTTTGTGAAGGGGAGACAAATCATGGATGCTGCACTCATAGTTAGTGAGTGCATTGACTCCAGAATAACGGAAGGAAGCCCAGGCTTAATGTGCAAACTGGATATCCAAAAGGCTTTTGACCATGTAAATTGGTCTTTTCTCTTAAATATCCTTAGCCAGATGGGCTTTGGGGACAAATGGCTGAAGTGGATTGAGACATGCATCAAAACTGTTAAGTTCTCTGTGCTTGTGAACAGAGAACCTGTGGGTTTTTTTGAATCAGAAAGGGGACTGAGACAGGGTGATCCTCTCTCCCCTTTCCTGTTCATCCTAGCAATGGAGGGATTTAATGCTATGATGAGGATTGCTACACAAAATAGATGGATCAAAGGCTTCAAAGTGGGAGGCAGAGGGGGGGAAGAAAGAGAAATTGGTCATATGCTCTACGCAGATGATACCATCATCCTTTGTGATCCTGCAGAAGAACAGATAAACTACATTAGAGTGATATTGGTACTTTTTGAAGCAGTCTCTGGATTGAAAGTGAACTGGGGAAAAAGTAGTCTCTTCCCTGTGAATGAGGTACCTCAGATAAAAGAGATGGCAGGCATACTAGGGTGTAGTGTTGGGAAGCTGCCTACCACCTATCTAGGCATGCCATTGGGTAACAATCACAAAGCCTTGGAAATATGGGATGGTATTTTGGAGAAAACTGAAAAGAAGCTCTCTGGATGGAAGGCTCAATATCTTTCACTTGGAGGACGATTGATCTTAATAAACTCTGTTCTTGATTCTCTGCCCACTTATGTGATGTCTCTATTCCCAATCCCAGGAAAAGTAGTGGAAAATCTGGATAAGCTAAGGAGAAAATTCTTATGGCAAGGCAACAAGGATGGAAAAGGCTATAGCTTAGTAAACTGGGAAACTGCTCTACTTAGTAAAGACAGAGGGGGGCTGGGAATTAAGAATTTGAAACTACAGAATGAGAGCCTATTGAAGAAGTGGTTGTGGAGGTACACTGAAGAGAGAAATTCCCTTTGGAAAGAGGTGATCATAGCAAAATATGGTGAGTTAAACCCTTGGTGTACAGAGATCACAACAGAACCTTATGGTGTGGGTGCATGGAGATCAATTAGAAACTTGTGGTCACAAATGGAGACAAATTTATATATCAAGGTGGGAAGTGGCACTAAAACAAAATTTTGGAAGGATGTTTGGATAGACCAATCCCCTCTTAGAGATCTCTTTCAAATTTGTGGAAATCCTGATGCCAATGTTGGCGATTGCTGGACTGAACAGGGCTGGGATCTAGTTTTTAGAAGACTTCTCAATGATTGGGAGGTGGAAAGGGTGGCTGAGATATTAGGGATGCTAGGCGGAGTGACCATCAATGCAAATGCCACAGACAGGATGTTGTGGAAGCACAGCAAAGATGGCCTCTTCTCAGTCAACTGTGCTTACAGAAGAGGTCTCCAGGTGATGGCAGGGAGACCAACACACCTCTGGAACTATTTTTGGAAGGGGGATATTCCTACAAAAGTGAAATGCTTCACTTGGCTAGTGATAAAGAGAGCTTGTTTAACACAAGAAGTACTTCAGAAGAAGGGTAGACAGCTGGTCCCTAGGTGTTTTTTATGCAATTTGACAAGTGAAACTAACAGCCACCTCTTCTTGCACTGTAATTACACTGCTCAAATCTGGAATTTGTTCCTTAGCATCTCAAATCTGAATTGGACAATGCCAGAATTTACATCAAACGTGTTGAAGAGTTGGGTAAGGAGAGGGGGTACCAAGAGCCAGAAGAGATGGTGGAGGTTAATACCATCATGTATATGGTGGTCAATCTGGAAGGAAAGGAACAGTAGATGTTTCGACAATAGATCCAATTCCATACACAAGGTCAAATGGAATTGTATAGTATCTCTACTTTTTTGGTGTAAACAGTTGTGTATAGTAGATACAGATCAGATTGTAGATTTGATAGGAAGTTTGTAATTGACACTTTTTGGTGGTGGCCAGCATGCCCTTAATGCTGAAGAATACAACCTTACCAGTTTCAAAAAAAAAAAAAAAGCTAATTCCTAAAAAATCTACCAACTCGACAGCATCCTCTAAGTTTTCTTCTTTACACCAGAAATGGAGATTAGCAATACAGTTCCCCTTAATTTTCTGTAGAGAGCTAAATCTATTCTCCAAGCACTCTTTTCTTTCCACACTGTCCACCAAATACATGCAGGGATTGCTCCCCACCATCTCTTTATAACTTGCTACCACCTCTCCCAATCCAACAACTAAGGAGGTCTGCAGTGTGTTCTGGCATGGTCCACTTGATAACCCAAAGACTAAAAAAAAGTGACCACAAGTGGCCAGTCACCTTGCAATGCATAAATAAATGGATGTTTGTCTCTGCATACTCATTACAAAGAAAACATTGTGATGCTATTTGGATTCCTCTCTTCAGAACGGCTTCATGTGTTAGGCGAGCTTTTCTGACTACCAGCCAAGTAAAGCATTTGATTTTAGTAGGGACCAGACAATCCCACACCTTTGACCATGGGCCTATACTGCCTCCAGGTTGCCTCAAGATTTCTATATTATACAATTTGTTCATAGTGAACACCCCATCAGTATTATGTCTCCATCTAATAGTATCTGGATCTGTACCTCTGAACTGTCGATTTCCTTCAACAGGATACCCACCCTGTCGAGTTCCCAGTCATTTAAATTCCTCCAGAAGCATATGTTCCACCCGTGAGGAGACCAAGAATCTGCCACAGTTGCTTCAGGACTGCTACAAATGATCTTGCGTACTTTGACTACATTCTTTTTTTTTTTTTTTGATGACAAGGGAAACCCATAGCCGCTACCCTTTGGGTGCGCACAGAGTAAAACCCATGCTCCTATGCAATAGCTCGCAAACCACATAGGAGAGGTAACCCGCACTAGGCAAGCCTGGTGTGACGAGCTCGACCCAGAAGACAAACCCCTTCCTTTCGTTGGCAAGGGGTTTTGAACTTGAGACCTCCAACATGGAAGTCCCAAGCCCAAACCACTGGGCCACCCCGAAGGGTCTTTGACTACATTCTTGACTGAGAAGTATAAATTGATTGGGTATTTGGTTTTTATATCTATATAACAGAATGAAGTTTTATGAGTTTTAGTTCAGTAACTTTAGGCTCGTTAAACAAGAGTGATAGATGAAGATGTTACTCTAAGATTTAACAGAATGGTTGAAATGGAGAAGTGTCACCAGGGTGTTATGTGATAGATGGATACCTACCAAAGTGAACGGCAAGTTCTATGGAACAGCTATAAGACACCAGCTATGTTATATGATAGTGAATGTTGGGTTGCTAAAGATCAACGTATACATAAAATGAGTGTTGAAGAGATGTAAATGCTAAGATGGATGTGCAATCATACCAAATTAGGTAAGATTATAAATAACTACATTTGCTAGAAGGTGCAAATAGCACACATTGAGGATTAAAGGTGAGAAAGTTGCTTGAGATGGTTTGGACATGTTTTGCATTGACCTATAGATGCACATTCAGTAGGTGTGAAACTATGATAATTGAAGGTGTTAAAAGGACACAAGGTAGACCTAAATCACATGGAAGAAAGTGGTCTTAAAAGACCTCCAAATGATTGGTATCAATACAGACTTAACGAAAGGCATGGAACAATGGAAGAAAATGATCCATAAATGTGAGTTGACAATAGGTTTTAGACTCGTATGGAACTTTTATTATTAGTAGGGGTGGTATCATTTATATATACACTTTTAACGTATTTTTTATTTTTATTTTATTTATTATTATGATGATATGGTATGACACCGCGTATGTAGTAGTTATTTGTTGTTTATGATAATATAATGGTATGAGCTAAAATGAAGAAATGAGGATTCATATAGCAAATCCTAACTTGTTGTGACAAGGACGTAGTAGTTGTTGCTATCATAACACACCTTCCTTTTTGAGAAAGTAACAAATGTTATCAATATCATCTGCACAAAGGCAATGTTGGATGCCATATTCACAATTCAAAGGGCAAAACCAGTGTATCATTGATTCTTCTTGGATTCTAAAATAGATTACGATTCATCTTTAAATTTCTCTTGCGCCAAAAATAGGACTATATATATCCTCAAAACATCTTGAGCTAGTCCATCATATTTAGCTTCAATCTAATTCTTCTATCTGACACATCTACTGTTAAATACCTTCCTTTTCTTTTTTTTGATAACCTTAAATACCTTTTTATGAAGTAAAGATCAAAGTAAGAAAGTCTATTATAAAATACCTTCCTTGTTACGCATCCCTTTTAATGGCATCCCAAACTATTTAGCATGCATTTTTATTGAGCTGGTTTTGAGGGTAAAGAAACATATTGCCTGTCAAAATCTGAGAATTGATCATTAAACAAAAGCACATAACTTGGCAATTCTCTTCCGGGGCATTTCTAATAGAATACATCTAAATCGCACTTGCAGCTAAAGCTTAGGTTAAGTACAGATATTAGTGACCAACATTTCCTATAAGGAAATAATTAGTAGTGTTGTATAATGCGAACATCAGTACTTGATATTGCTAATGTATGTTCAATGGTGATAATTAATTTTTTTCCTAGAACGGCTTATGTTAGATTTTTGTTAGGTCAACCAATCAAGACAATATTTGCTTACTCATTGAATTCACTATGTAAATTAAACATGAATATATCAACTAACATGCAGTTTTATGCAACCTTGCTTTATTTGTTTTAAAAAAATAGATTGCTCTGGTATCTCATGGTGCAACAGCCAGAAGTGTGTCCTATAAAAATAGATGATTAAGCATGGTAATGCCCAAAAGACTAGCTAAAGATATATTTTTAGGCAAAGCTTGACCATTTAGGAGTACAAAAGTCATAGCATGCCATGACAAGAGTTACAGAAGTTCATAGACAAGATTGGAGAATTAATTGGCTTGAGTCCTATGGTGTGTGGTGCTGCAGTGACAGGGTGTGCATCCATAAAAGCTGAAAAGACCACATTTTTAATCAATGCTGAAAAGACAAAATCCATATTGTGCAAAAAGGGGTTATTTAAAGATTGAGTACTTTGAATTCAAAAGTTGAGACAGAAATCACATTTCAACAAACTTAGCAGTGAACAACAAGTTGTATCATGCACCAACCAAACAAAAGCTTTTATAGAGAAAATGCATCAAATGGGGTCCCATTTTAAACAAAGTTTATACCGTGTGTTTTTTAACACATCAAAATCATGTATCTACCAACTCCTACACATTTCAATATTTTCTCAATCATGTCTCTGGCAAGAGAGGCAGTTCTAACTCAAGATAATCTCATCATAAGGAGACTTCAGTTATGTTCTAGATGCTATTTATGTGAGGTTGAGGCAGAGACAATCAATCTATCTATCTCTTTTTTTTACACTGTAAGACAACAGATCTACTATGGAGGATTTTCATTAATCTAAGGGAGATAAGGTGGTCCATGCCAAGGAGAACCCAGGAAGTTTTAGCTTGATGGAACAAAGATGGAAACTTGTAAAGGGACGGAGAGATATGGAAGATTATCCTTGTCTGCGTTTGATGGACTGTTTGAAAGAAGAGAAATGAGAAGTGGTTTGAGGACAACAGAAGCTCTATGTGGAAGATGAAGATGATGGGTGTGTTTGGTATGAAGAAAATGTTTTTCAATTTTCCCATGTTAGGTTGGTCATATATTTTGACGAACATTTTCTTTGAGAAAACAAGCTACTTATTAATAATGACACAAATTCTGCTAGTGACATTCCACATTGATTGTGTGCTGCCCACCCTCCAACACACCTCATCTTCACCCACACCCCTAACTCCCCACACCCAGTCTTCAATAATATCTATCAAAATTATATTCAAATGCTTTTAGAATAGTATTTTTTGCTTAACTAACAAACACAAAAAAAATAATAAGAAACCTACTTATTTTCCTAAAAACACTTGCCAATTACTATGGAAAGCATTTTTCTTACTCCCGAACTGTTTAGTCCTTCTCTATTATTTATGTAAACAAGAATATACACAAGAAGCAGTGTATATTCCTGAGGTCTGAGAGTCTAGGTGATAGGTTTTGTTGGAAGACAACTCATTTGTGATCATATGTAATTACACTTTTTGGTGTAGTTCATGTTTATAAAATACAAAATGTTACCTGAAATACTCTCTATAAATCAAAATGCATATCCGCACTATCACTTAGAAAGATCTAAATATCACAAAAAGTTTTTAATAAAATGAATAGCGAAAAAAAAAAAAAAAACTTTCAGTTCCACACATACCTCTCAGCTATATACTTGAGCAAGCCGTTATTACCAAAATACTCGATGTTAATTTTGGACAACTGACCCTGGCTGCGATCAACAGCAACGCGGCACGACTTGTGAAAGACAACATCCATTTCCATATCTTCTGGATTGCGCATGTCAATGACTCGCCACATGGAAGGGTCATGGCACACCTCCCACCAGCTATTGCAAACATTCTGTGCATTTAGCAATGTATCTACCACTCCCACTCGGCGAAAGATGTCCGCCGTTATTTCTCGAGGAAGCTCCACCCACGGTGGCGACGGCGGTGGCGGTGGCGGTGGCGGTGCGGATGATGGTGCTGCTGCTTTCTGGGGAGGTTTCTGCTTGATTCTCCATTCATACCGTTTTGGCTTCGGCATTTTTTATTTTATTTTAGGGCTTTACCGCCTTTGTTTTTACGGAGTAGCTGTTTATCACTGCAACTGAAGGAAGAAAAAGGAAAGAATCAAAATCCCTAGAGCATGGGTTATATTTTTGCCACTTATTTTTATACCATAAATAAAATAAACTATGCTAAACTAGGGGTGTGATGACCAAAATACAACAAGTTGGTCCTTGTTGTCCCTTTTGGAATGATTATTTCGATGTATGCGTATCGCGTCAAATTATTGGATAAGTCATATATTTGTTTTGAAAGCATTTTCTTATTGGTTAAATCGAAAACCGAACCGTTAAAGACCTAAAACCGATAAACCGAAAACCGATAACAAATATCTTATTGGTTTGGTTATCGGTTTAGCATATTTAAAAACCGAAAACCGATAAATCGAACCGATAATACTTATAACCGAACCGAATCGACCGATACACACCCCTATGCTAAACGCACATAATCTCTTTAATTTGTTCCAAAATTTTATTTTAATACTCCAATTTAATCTTATTTTATTTTAACTTTGCAATTTCATTTTTTATATATCATTTACATGTATATAAGTATTTATCTTCTTTTTTTATGAAAAGAACTTAGTATAAATCTTCAATACGAGTTAAACAAACATTAGAAGGATAAGAAAACATCCAATTAAATAATGCTATATAATTTTTTTTCTCCAAACCATTCGAGTCGACTTATCATTTACATTAATCGTATCAATTTGTCATCTTTGAGCAAAAAAAATTATTATTTAATTATGTTCAAACTACATAATTATTTTTGAGACCGATTAGTAATGGTGTAATATGTGTTAATTTAAATATCGAGTTTATGTTATTGTGAATAATTGAATATATATTTTTTTCAATTTATGTAGCATCAACAAAATATTTATCAACATTCCGATAATTATAATTTTAAATTGTGGTATAACATTGTTCTCCTAAATCTGACTTTTTACTTGTTATTTTAACATTTCATTTTTAGTCCTTTATAATGTAAAATATAATGGATATTTTTAATTTTATATAAATGAAATGAATTATTATATAAAATAAAAGAATGTTATTATTAAAACGTTAAATATAAAATGAGATTAAATGAAAAAGATAGGGAGATAAGTAAAATAGGTGAAGGGAAAAATAACGTTGAAGAGAAGATATAGGAAATAAATAGAGGAGAAACTTATTAACAATAAAAAAATATCAAATATCAAAGTCAAATTAGCTTTCAAGTATTTTAAAAAATAAGTAATCTTGTCAATCTGTCTAGTTATTATTTTGTGCTGAAAGGCAATGTAAAATTAAAATTAAAATGTTAAAATAAAACGAGATTAAGTTAAAATGACAAAACTGAATTTCAATGACGAGTTAAGAAAATTGTCCATGCACTTAGTCTTTGTATTGCTAATTTTACCATAACATTGTTGTGCATGTCGAGTAAAAAAATGCATATTATCGTAAAATATTAACAATATTATTTAAGTATAATTCTGAACAACAAATTCACATGAAATAATATAATAGTTCTTAAATGTGTAGGGTAAAAAAATACATATTATCATAAAATAAAAGCGAAATAATTAAGTTGAATTTTGAATAACTAATTTTACACACAAAAAATAGATTATATATATGAATGATCATACTATACTTATTCATCAAATCTATGAACACAATCAATTAAAGTTCAAATAGTCCATGTAATTTATATATTTATTACAAATTGATTAGTCGCAAACGTAAAATCTAATGTATGATGATTAATATTTTCTAATAAATGTTATTCTTCGAATTTTTTTACTGTATGAACTAGTTTGGATAGTTCTTACATTCCTTTTTTTTTTTCCTTTTACGCTATTGATAATTGAATTTAGATTTTGAAAGAAAATAATATCAAAAAATTACTTATTCACTAAATATTGTTTGTTTTAAAAATCTCTCAAATTACTGATATGGTTCACACACTTATAATGATTGATTTATTATTCTTTATGGTGTTGCAACCTATCAAATATTTTAGCGTAATAAAAATACATAGCTTAGACACGTTGTTCTTCATTAATGATAAGAGAAAAATATTATTTATAAATTAAATTTTTTTATTTATTTTCTAGGCAGAAAATGTCACAACTTTATAAGAAAATATTGACTAAGGAGATTTGTGGCAAAAAATAATAATAATACAAGTACCAATTCATAAAAATAAAAAAAATCAACAAAAATAAAGAAATTAAAGAATCATATATTATATTAGAGGAACTAGAAGCTACTATAAAGATGAAAAAGAGTCGAACAAATCTTTGTGGCGCTTGTGCTAAAAGAGAGAGGAGAAGAAAATTAAAAAAGAAAGATGCAGTGAAAATTTTTCATTTACGTGAAACCCACGAATATGAAAGAAAAGGAAAAACGAGGAAATTCAACTGCTGAAATAAAAAATAAATAGCAACAATCGATTTTGAATGGTTAAGAAGGACATACCTTGAGTTTTAAATAGAAGCCTCCATTCTATTTTTGAGGGGAAAAGACAACACTTCGAATATTTTTAAGCTTTTCTTCTACTTTTTTTTTCTGTTATTTTTGAAGACAAAAATTATTCTAGTTCATGTTTTTAATTAAAAGTGGAATTATTCGTCTTGGATATTTCTTTTATTTTCTTATTTAATGGAGAAAAATATTTCCATTAGCCGTACTAGTTTATCATGGATTTTTGTTGTTGTTGGAGAAATGATGAATTTTGATACTTCTATATAAAAGTAAGTATCAATCCAGCTTAAGCTTTATATTTGATTATTATATGTTTCATCGTGAGATGTTATTTAATTTATTAACACTTATTTATTGTTTATTGCATATTAATATATTACTAATTCTATAATCGAGAGAGACGGAAGAAGTAATAACAATAATTCAAGTATTGATTGATTGTTAATGTTTTAGTAACATCAACTTATTTATGTTATAATTAAATTTACACTTATTTGCAGTAGCGAGAGATAAATCTATATATAATATAAAGCTAGATAAAAGAAAAGTGATGTGGCACCTCTCTTTGGCTAAGGAGATCCTATTTATCTTTTTTCTCATTTTTTTGACAATTTTTTCTATTTTTTATTTATTATTATTGTAAAAAATGAATGTGTCAATTACTACTCAATTTATTCATATTCTTTAATAGAAAAACTTAATTGTATTTATTTCCATTACTCCCATTACTTTTAATAATCATAACTCCTAATTCATATTAATAGTCATGTTCTTGATATCTTTTAATATTCCATATTATGTCCTATAAATAGAGGCACTAGAAAAATTTGTTACAAAAAAAGTGTTCAAGTTTATGTGTAGTATAGCTAGGGATTAACTAGGTGGAGTTTTCTCATCTTTTTGGCAAAGAATCACAATCTTTCTTATAAGTTTATAAAATAGTATCCTATAACGTATATATTGATTTTTTACTCACATGAGATTTGATTATTTTATTGCAGGTGCTTTTTTTTTGTTGTTGAATGAAAAAAAATCATCTTCTCCTTGATATTTGATAAACGGATAGAATTTCATTCTAACAGGCTCCCGCAAGATTATTGGAGGAAATGTATAATTAGTATTTTTTATTTTCACGTAAGTCGTAATTTTTATTACTTGAATTTTATTGTGAGAATTTGACAAGAGTTTTATGAAATGCAAATTTTATATAATATAAAGCTAGATAAAAGAATAATGTTGTGGACACCTCTCTTTGGCCAAGGATCATGTTGATCCTTTTTCTCATTTTTTTGACAATTTTTATTTATTTATTTAATATTATTGTACAAAAATTAATGTGTCAATTACTACTCAATTTATTCATATTCTTTAGAATAAAAACTTAATTGTGTTTATTTCCATTACTCCCATGACTTTTGATAACCATAACTCCTAATTCATATTAATAGTCATGTTCTTGATATCTTTTGATATTCCATATTATGTCCTATAAATAGAGGCACTAGAAAATCTTGTTACAAAAGAAATTGTCAAATTTATATGTATAGTAGAGCTAGGGATTAACTAGGTGGAGTTTACTCATCTTTTTGGCCAAGAATCACAATCTTTCTTATAAGTTTATAAAATAGTATCCTATAGCGTATATATTGATTTTTTACTCACATGAGATTTGATTATTTTATTGTAGTTGCTTTTTTTTTTGTTGAAAAGAAAAAGTTCATCTTCTCCTTGATATTTGACAAACGGATCAAATTTCATTCTAACAGGCTCCCACGAGATTATTGGAGGAAATGTATAAATATTATTTTTTATTTACACGTAATTCGTAATTTTTACTAATTGAATTTTATTGTAAGAATATGACAAGAGTTTCATGTGATGCAAATTTTATATTAAATGCTCAATTTTAAATTGCTAAAAAACTCATTTTTATTTTTTTTAATGCAAAACTTAATTGTCTTTATTTTCATTACCCCATGACTTTTTATTATTATAATCTCTAAAATAATTAATAGTCATATTCATGATATTATGTGTTATCCTATATTGTAGTCATGTAAATAAAGATATTACAAGACTTTGTTGAAAGGAGCACATTAGCATTTTATGTTGTTACTTTCTATGTTGATGCTTTGATTTGACATGAAAGAATAAGATGAAAGTTATTAAATGACGATTGTGGATTGTGGATTGTGGCTCGGAAGATTGTATATTGATTTCATATTTTTTTTAATGTGTTAATGATTAAGATCCCAACTATGATGCTGCATAATTTATTTTAGTTCTCTCATGATTTTTCTTTCTTTTGTATTATTTAATATAAAGTTTTGATTGTCGTAAATTTATAATTTATTTTGGTTCACAGTAGTATGACTTTGTTGGACATAAGTATCTCTTTTTTTTTTTTTTTTTTACTTCCTCAAAAATGTTTAAATCTATTTTTTTCCCCCATGAATTTTCAATTACAAATCATTCACTAAACGTTTTAATTAAAACT